CAGCATTGATTCAAATGTTTCATGAAACACAAACTATCACTGACAAGGGAAGGCAGGGTGTCCAAAGGGAGGTTCAGGGGCCTTTAGTGGACCCTTGAATGTTTCCTTACTGCGACAATATTACCAAAAACACCTTTTACATGTTAGGAACATCTTTTAATCTTTTGATAAACAAGGTTGTTGCATTTGTTTATATTTCTTAGTGAACTGAATCACATTTATCCAGTGACTTTCACTCAAAAGCAGACTGAGTCACACCTAAATCTCAATTAAATCATCAAACTTGAATAAAGCTGCAAACCGTTTCAAAGAAACAGTGATCCAAAACTTTTTCCTTTAGTTGAGGATGGACAGAATTTATTTTGTTTATGCAACGAGATAAAATAATTAGTAAAACTACAAAATGTACTGAAATAATAAATAAATAATATTTAATTGTCCTATTTTGCGTCTGAGTCACCTTTCATCTCCTCTCACACCAGGTGTCTGTTTGTTTGCTGCTTTGAATGGTTGCTGTGCTTCGCTGCTCCTGGATCAGTTTAAAGTGAAACTCAGAGAAGCTCCTCTGCAGTCTGACGGTCAGATTTTCCTCAGCTATGATGTTTCTGAGTCCACTGTTGATCACGCTGCTGCTTCAGCTGCCAGGTGAGGAACGACCAGCTTCTGCTTTCACTTGTTCTCAGATGAAACACAGTCACATGTTTTCTACTGTTTCCATCCTGCAGGATCAGACGGTAATCCCTCTGTGACTCAGTCTCCAGCAGTGAAGTCAGCTGCGTTGGGGGAGACGGTCTCTCTGAGCTGCTCAGCCAGTGCAGGAGTTGATGATGATCTGAGTTGGTACCAGCAGAAACCTGGACAGCCTCCCAAACTGTTATTTTATAAAATCAGCAGCCGTCAATCTGATACTCCCAGTCATTTCAGCAGCAGTGGATCAGAGCCTCAGTTCACTCTGACAGTCAGTGGAGTTCAGGCTGATGATGCTGGAGATTATTACTGTATGGGAGTGCATAGTGGCCCGGTGTTCACACAGTGATTTATAGTCGTACAAAAACCTCCTTCAGTCTGACCACAGACTGTACAGCAGCTGTGAGTTTCTGCTGCAGACTGGAACATGGATACGGTCCAGTGAAGTTCACTCTGTAGTGCTAATGGAAGAAACTAACAAAGTATTTATTTATTGAAAATAAAGATCAACATTAAAGTGAGTTTTAAATAAACTCAGAGTTAAATATGTGACATTAGCATGACTTATGTTCATCAGAAATCATTTTACATCTCGTGAGAGTGAAGTCTCATAGAAAATTGTATTTGATTGCTATAAAAACACTACTTAGTACAGCATACAGTTTGAGGTGAACAAAACATTTATTAAACATCAGTAATCAAACTGATTGCATATTGGTTTGATTAATTAAAGTGTCGGGATAAATTAATATCATCAACATGTCAGATGTCATTTCCCTGAACTATAACAGGAACAATCACTGTATGAGTTTTTAATGCAACATATTTCACTCAGTGACAAACATCTGATACTATAACTAAAGTTGAACACCATTTTTTTAAAAATGTTGATGAAATCTATAATATTTAATAAAATTTTCATCTTGAATAATTTATAATGTCAGAAATTGTTTGTTCTCATCTGAACAATCCAGAACCGACATGATTTTCATAGCTGCAGAGATCTATACATTTTGTTTCAAATATTGCAAACAGTGTTTAAAAGTAAAACTGTCTGCTTTTATTTCCCATGTTGTTAAATGACCTTAATGACCATTATTTAAAGTGCCACTCTTGATAAAATCAAGTTTCTTCTTCTTTGTCATGACAGTAATGAAACTCTCTCCATTATAATGTATCAGAGCAAGCTTTATTAAAACACACAGCAAATGAATCCCACTCACATCCAGCTGCTGAGCTTCACACATTAGTCTAAGTTGTTGAACGTTTCTCAGCGGTTTAGTTGAGCGTCACACAAGCTTTAGTTTGCCTTCATCCAGACTCCTGTTGCTGAGAGCAGCAGGTGTTTCTCCTGCTGCTCTCCCACTAAGAGCTCCTGCTCTGGGCCTCATTCAGCCTCTCTGGCCCTCACACTGGCTCCTCCGGATGCTCTGGACCTGGCTGTGGCCCTGATGGGCCACCCTGCAGGAGTACTGCTCTCCTTTCATCCACTTCTCCTGGCTCAGGCTTAAGGTGCTGCTGCTGCCGTAGCGTCCGCTCTTCTCCTCCTCCGAGCTGCTCCGGACCCCGTCTGTCACCGCCGTGCCGTCCACCTCCCAGCTCACCTGGGCTCCCTGAGGAGAGTAGCCGCTCAGCAGGCAGAGCAGCGTGGCCGAGCCCCCAGAGAGCTGCTCAGAGGAGGGGGGCAGCAGAGAGACTGAGGGTGGGACCGCGGGGCCGGCTGGAGGGGAGAGCAGAGACACGAGGAGCAGATCAACGTCTGCTGGTCAGGACACACACATATCACAGTGGACTATAATATAATAACACTGAGGAGACGGATGGTTTAGAGGCTGGATTCATTCATCCATGTTTACTTCACTTTCAGCTTTTTATTCAAATCTTCTGGAGCTTCCAGAGAAAAACACATCAGAGCTGAAATGTTCTGACTTCGACTCGTCAGGAATAAAAGGAGCAACATGAAATATCAATGTGAATAAAACAACATTTACTGTAAATATGTTGGTTCTGTAAAGATTTGCTTCATG